ATTCATACCTGTGCTTTGCGAAACATTCAGTGGGCCTGTGAAACTGAGAAAAGTGAAACCAGCCCCTTCTGGAGCTTGATTTTAAAGGAGCAGATCTCAGGAAGAAAAAGTATGCAGTAAAGTTGTAGAAAGGTTAGTGGGGAGAAAGTGCAGGGAGGAAAGCTAGAGATATGAGAACATCCAACGAGTACAGAAGAGACCCTGCAACAGGCTGCAGCGCTGAGGCCCAGGGAAAAATAGTCAAGAAATTCCAACAGTAGGCATGTCTAAAAATTTGTAAATAAAAAAAGTCTCCATTTTAAGCTGTTCACTACGCTGAGATCTAATCCCTGCCACTACTCTCAAGTTTTTAATAAAACTCTACTACAAAATCTGCTTTGAGACTGATGCTTTAGAAGAATTAAGGCAGATACTAAAAAGGCAGGTTCAAGAGACAAGATGTTAAGTAGGATCGAAAATAGAGCAGAAGCAAAGAAGTGAAATAAGGGTGTCTGAGAGAAACACAAGCTCTCTGAACTCCTCTGAAATATTTGGGGGAGGAAACTGTGTTCCCATCATCTATAGGTTGGGGCTTTGAAAAGGATGAAGGATCACCCCATGAGCTTGTGGACTTAGCCACATCTTGAAGGCTGACAGCTAGATCACACCCAGTCAAGCAATTAATAAATAAAACAAAGAAGGTACCTAAATTTATGCTTCAGAAGGTTAAAAAGGAGGTGATCATCATTTAGATCATCAAGATTTGTTAAATATTTCATGGAAGGGTGACCCTGGCCTAATCCTTAAAGGATAAGAGTTGAAGAACAGAGGATAGAGATATAGATATTCCAAGTATGGCTCATGAATAAAGCTCCCAAACCAGGAATGAGTGTGGTCTGTTCAGAGAACAGTGCAGAAACTTGCCTATTTGGAACAGAGTACTCGTTGGCAGGCAGTGGCATATAAGATTAGCCAGGTAAGGTGAGACCAGATGGAGGAAAGCTCTGAAATCCAGGAAGAGAAATCTGAACTCTGACAAGCATTCACGGGAAGGGAAAGAAACTGCTTTATTCTGTTTTTGCTTTGAGGTTTTTGTTGTTGTTGTTTCTCAATTATGAAATACTTTCGCAGGCAGAATGGTCCTTTTCCCTATTTTCTAAAACTGACCCACAGATTTACCAATACCCAGCTCATATCCTTACCCTTAGGGATACAACTATTACTTCTTTGAAGATTATGTCTTTACTCACGTTTGTACTGGTCCCACATCTCAAACTGCCTGTCAGGCAATTATCCTTTCAAGTTCTTCAACTATCCCACATCATTTGTCCACCCTATAAACACTTACTGAGTGTCTATCCCGTGACATGTTCAAGCGAGGAATTTAAAGATGACTCAGTCCATGCCCTCAAGAAACTCAGAGTATGAGGTAGGCAGAAGCCAAGAAAATAAACTAGTACAATACAGAGTGGTAACTACTAGAGTAGAGGAAAGCTTACCGTAAGAGAGCTGAGGACAACATCAGTTTGGAGATCAGGAAAAAACATTAAACACCTAAAAAAAAGTGTTGACTGAGCTGTGTCTTAAAGGAAAATAAACATCAAAGGATGGAGAGAAGAGCTGAGGATGACAGTGATTACCATCAGACAGGGCAGAGCCTGTCATACTCAGAAAATTCCACACAGCTGGGTGAGTAGGAGAAGTAATAGTAAAGGACCAGATCATGAACACCATCCTTTCATACTAAGAAATTTGTATTTTAGAATAGCTGAAAGATTTTAATGAAGGAATAAAATGATCATATTTGTATTTCTTTAAAAAGTGCTCTGGAAGTAGTAAAAAATGAATTAAAAGGGCACAACAAAGCTTCTTTTCTTATCATAAAACACAACAAAAATCCAATAAAGGCTGCTATAACATTCAATTTATCTTCACTTATCCATTCCCGCCCTCTTTATAGGCTTAGCTCACACCCTTCATAAAGTCTTCCCTAACTCTCCCCAAATATATTATTCTTTCCTTTTTCAGAACTAAGCCATATCTGTCTATACATTGCATTCTGTCATCACTTTACATTTTAAGTAATTTACATTTAAATTTCTTCTAACAAGTATGTAAGCACTCTGAAAAAGTCATATATTTATTGACTATGCAATACATACATACACAATACGCGCGCGAGCGCGCGCTCTCTCTGTCTGTCTCTCTGTCTCTCTGTCTCTCTGTCTCTCTGTCTCTGTCTCTCTCTCTCTCTTTCATCCCATAGCACCTAGCACAGTAATACAACATTCTAAATGGGTGGTTCCTTTGAACTGAACACATGGTCTCCTTTATCCATGAGTAAAAAGATTCCGCTATTCCTCATAAGTAAGGAATAAAATAAGATATATGATCGGGCAAAACTAAGGTGAAAAAAGTACAGTTATGGCAGGAAATTAATAAAAGAGAACTTTCTGGGAAGATGAAAATGTTCTAATTTATGACAGGGGTGTGCTACGCTGCTGTACACATTTATTTAAAATAAATATAACAAGATTTGTACAGTTCAACACCTATAAATATTACCTAAAAACCTGTAAAAATAAGGGGTAGGGAGCAAGGAGCTATAAGTAAAACAAGACTGGCAGAATGTTGATGGTACTTATTGGGTTAAGTGTAGAGGGAATTCATTATACCATTCAGCTGACTTTGCATATGTGTAATTTTCATAATAAAAAGTCAAAAATATTAGTCAAACTGGGTGAAAAAATTGCATTAACTAATAAAAAGTAATTCAGAACACTAAATTACTCATTCTCTTAATGTATGAAATAATGTGACATTGTAACTTTTAAAGTGGTTTTATTAGCTCTATTACCTGATTCTAAGAAATATCTTCTAAGACAAACCTACTGTTAACAGCATAGACAAAAAAAGGCAGAGCAGCCACACGTTCCTAATTAAGCACCAGATAGTAAAATTAATTAGCTGTAATCAGACACTCAAAAAGCCAGTAAAATATAAAGTCATAATTGTTTAATCTTCAAACTGTGAAGCCAAAGATAGTGACTATAAAGATATTCATAAGATTCTGGAAGTATAACATGTACAAAGACAGACTGAACACCATTCTTAAATAATTCTTTTTTTAAGAATTAAGTTTTTAAATAATTCAATTATTTTATCTCAGTAATTTAAACTTTGTTTATTCTCATAATTGGCATTCTCCCACAAAAGTTTATCAAAAAGATTTTAAAGTATTTTACAATAATAAATACTTAAAACTAGTTAGATTCTACTATACTGTTTTGTTACTATTGTCATTATTTCCCAATAGATTATGCTTAAAATTTTTCTATGGTCAATAATCTATGGTCTTGAAAACCAGTACCCTCGTAAGCCGTGACAAAAAAGGACATGAAGAGTTTCTGGGATGCTGGTAATGTTCTTACCTGGGTGCAGATCTGAGTGCTGACAACACGGCTGAGTTCTATTTGTTAAAATTCTTCAAGCTCTACTGTGATACGTATACTTTTCTATATGTAAGTAATACTCCAATAAAGCATTTAAAAAAAAAAAAATCGTAAAAGGAAGCCAGAGCTTTAAGGGCTCAAGTTCCCTTCCCCCATACTAAAACACCTGTTCTATGCACTGAACTACTTCTCTGCAAAAATGTAATTCAAAGTTATTTTACAGCATTTACCATTTTCTGTTGGCATATTCTCAGACAACTTCCATTTGCAATTGGGGGCTCAGAAAGCATACAATCCAAGAGAAAAAAATGCTTGTATTTTCCAGAATTAATCATTTTAAAGGCAAATTAAATAGAAGAAAAGTGAATAGGTACTGTACTGTTCGGACAAAGATGCCAATCATTTTCAACTTTGTTAAAAGGATTTAGGAAGGAAGAGAAAGACCATCGCTTCAGACTTACTAGTAAGATACAGAAGCTAGGAAAAGGTTAATAAGAATTACGAGGAAAGTCAGGCCACTTATCACTGTTCTAGTCCAAAGTCTACGACTAATTAGATATTTTAGGCAAATCAAAAACAGAGGGCAACAGTTATATGACCAGAGATATAAATGAAATAAAATGCATGAAAATAGTATGCCAAGTTAATATGAAATATCAGATAACTGGCAAGAATGCTTGGAAAGTAACCTCAATGGTTTGCTGAAACCAAGTGTCTCCCAGCAAATAAACTTATGTCTATAATCCTGCAACAGTAACTCAATTCTCTCTCTCCCTTCCTCTAATCTTATAATCTCCCAAAGTTAAATTTAAACACTAAAATTCTCTCGATGGGGAAGCAGTGGAGTGTAATCAAAAAGGATCTTGATCCTCACCTAAAACACACACCTTCCACCTGCAAAAAGCCAGGGAAGGGAACCTTGCTCTCCAAATATCAGGAAACCGATTCTGCCTCTGCGGATGAAATGCCAGGGCGTTCACTGACCAACTTCAAGCCGACACCACTTTAGAAAGCAATTTTGCCAAGTGGATCATGGATAGTTCACATGAACCATCCCCGCGACTTTCAACAGCAACTACTAGGGAATCGTGCCAAACCTCGTCCCAATGACTTAAACAGCCTCCACCCAGGGAAGTCCAATCTCCATCCTCAATCTACACATACACGTCCACGAAGCAAATACAAGGTCTGTGAGATGAGATGGCAAACCAGAACACACCCGAAAAGTTGATACAGAAAGGAGGTGGTTTGGAGAAGTTAGGGGGTCGACAGCCTCGGGGCAGAAATACAGGTTTGCCTGTGGTCGCAGGAGAAAAGATTTGCACTCCCTGGGCAAAGAAAAGGGCCGGTTAGGCCGGCGGGGACGCACGGAGCATGGGGGACGCGGGCGCCACGGGCACACGGGACACCCTGACATTGGAGCCTGGCAGCGGCAGCGGCCGCGGCCAATCCTCTCTCCGTTTGACCCCACGCGGCAAAGGAATCCGTCTGCCGGGCGACGGGCTGGGGAGAGCGCGCAGGAAGCGCCCGCTCGGGCCCGGGAAGGAGGCGCAGCCACGGCCTTCTTACCCGTGCAGGCCGAGGGCGCGGCGCCGCTTACGGAGCAGGTAGAGCAGCAAGAGCGCGGCCCCCGCCAGCGAGGAGTTCCGCGCCGTCAAGTACTTGCTGAAGGCCGCCATGGCACTGCCTGCGCGAGCGAGCGGAGAAAGGGGACGCGGCTATGACCGTCTTAGTGCAGGAAGCGCGGGGGAGACTGGGAGGAGAAGAGAGCGCCGAGAGAGGGCGGTGCCGGCCGCGCAGAAACGCCCCCTGCGCGCATCGCCGCGCCGGCCGCGCACCGAAGCCCACCTCGGAATTTGGCCGCGCGGGAGCGCGCGCGGGCGCCACGGAGGCCGGAACAGTGCTGGGCGCTCTCTGCGCACGCGCGGCCCCCCGCAGGGTCGCCGGGAACGCGGGCGCGGCGACCTTCGGAACCTCACTCCTGGCCTCCTCATTCCTTTGAGGTCTGGTCACTGTCCCTGCCTCCTCCCTGCTTCCACCTGCGCGCACACACACACCCTGGTTTTCACGAGAACTGGAAAAGTGGGCCTGGCCTGGACGGGAAACTTAGTGGAACCTGCCATTCCACCCGCGGTGATGGGCCGTTACCACCCTCTTAAGGCATCTAGGAAAAAGGGGAACGGCCCTATCACGGAGTATTTACATAAAACAGGGCTCTGTAGTCATTTAGACGAAAGCAACCTTAGGGAACTCGGAAGAGGAGTAGGGAGACGCTGGGAAGGACTACAAAGCTAAAACCTTTTTCCAAACCAATGTTTTCCCAAACTATGAATTATAATTTTTAGGGGATTCTGAAATTAGTTTGGTAGATCGAGACCACCACTTTTCTGTTTTTTAATGGAATTGGGAGCAGTAGAACACCATAGAAAATCTGAGAGTGGAGTCGTTTTGAAATATTCCAGTTTTTTTGTATTCGTATGTCTCTAGTGATATAAAATGTATTTTTGTGGATCTGATCAAACAAAAAGTTTGGGAAACTACTTTGCAAAGGAACATTCAGAAATAACAGTCGTGCATTGTATTAAAGCTGGCCTTACTCCCAGAATCTGAAGGGCATTACAGATTAAGCATTCCTTTCCTATCTGGCCCTAATGATGCAGAAAACTGGTATATGCACAGTGACTTAGTCCCTTTCTTCAGTTGAGGGAGCTGGAGAAAAGTATATCAGAACATAAAATTTTGCATAATATACACACTAGCCTGTGTTCTGAAGGAGCCCACGTTAAAGTAGTCCACGAAGTGTTAGTTTCCTAGGTGTTTTTTTTTTTCAATATAAATTGGTAGTTGCCTAATACAGAGGACAAGAATCACAAGAACCAGATATATAATGTGTGTGTAGGAGTGTTCAACAGTTTTAATTTTGTTAAAATGGAACTTCTACTGATTTTTCCATTTGCCATGTAGACATTTCATTACCTCACTTAATAATTAATTGGGTCATTTAGGTACGCCTGTCACAGAGTCTACAAGGATGAACATATTATAATCCCTATTCTCCAGAGGCTGGTAGAAACCAAAAAAAAAAAAAAACATGGAGAAAGTTTATAAATGTGGTAAGTACCATTTCAGAGATAAGAACAAGGCAAGAAGCTGCTGAGTTTTATCCTGAGTTTTAAATTAAGGCTTGACACAGATGATTTTGTAGCTGGATCCTAGAGGACCAGAGAAGTAGCTCAGGAGGGCAAGAGGGAAAATTACTAATTCACTAATAAATTGCATAGTAATGTAAAAGTGTTAGGAGCCTTGAGAGAAAGTGACCGAATCATCTTGGAGTTTGTAGCAGTGAAGGAATACAATGCAAGGTTAGTCCGAAATGAAGTCTACTTAGGAAATACATTTCAGAGGAAAGATATATTTAGGAAGTAGACTATAGTTCAGAGGAAAGATATTCTAAAAGGTATCCTTGTTCAAGAAGCATGGAGGATTCCAAAAAAATGAAATTAGTGAATATGAGCTCAAATAATTTAGCTATTCATAAAGCTCGTTGGATAAAGACTACCAGATACAGACCTGTAACCTAACAAAGTTAGGTTTATTAACTTGCTGCAGCAAAGGATACCACTCAGCAGAGGAACTGTGGGCATGTCTCCAAAAAGGGAAGAAATGGGGGTCATTATAGTATTAGGAAAAGGAAAGAGTTTAGATAGAATCTAAATGAAACAGTACTTAATAGAGCACATCAGATCTATATGTAAAGGGGTTAACATGAGACCTGAATTGAGAAGCAGACTCAGGGTTCTGTTTTCTTGGAAACACAAATTTAAGATTAATGTAGAATATTATGTCCCTAAGCTACTCATCTGAAACTCTGCACTATAATTTAAGGCTGCTTCTCTAAGTCAAAGTGACTTAGATAGCCTACATCCCCTGGGCAAGAAAGGAAGTTTCTATTCTCACTAATATGAGCTCCAAACAACCGTGTTTCTGAAAACCTAGGACTTCTGACAACAAGGTTTCTCAGCACTATGTCCCTTGATAATTAACCAAAGCAATTTTTCAGGTTTACACATTTTAATAGTAAATACTTAAGAAAAAATGTGATTTTTATTGAGAGATCTCCAGGAGCTCTGATTTTTAAAGAATTTGAGCTATTGAGAACAGAGAGAAGGGCATATGGAGTTAGGGAATCTAGAAAGCCTCTTGAAGAGATATTGTGTTAGCCTCCAACACTGTCCCTGGTGATTCTTGCTTCCTGGCATTTATGTCCTATTTAATCTCCCTCACATCAGAGCTGGGCTGTGTGACCAAAAGAGTAGTATGGTAAAGATGATGTTGTATGACTTCTGAGACCAAATTATAAAAGGCCTTGTCACTTTTGATTTGGTCTCTTGGGAGGCCAGCTGCCACAGAGAAGAACTGAGGACTTCCACCAAGAGTGAGCACCGGTTTGCCAGCCTTGGAAGCAGCTCTTCCATCGCCAGTCAAGCCGCAGACTACATCCTCAAGAGCAATCCTGAGCCAAGCCCGCTCAGCCAAGATACTCCTAAATTCCTCACTCTCAGAAACTGTGGAAGATAAATGTTTATCATTGTTTTAAGCCATTATATTTTGGGGTAATTTTTTACACAGCTGATATGATTTGGGCCATGCCTTAAAAAATAGACAGAAAAAAGGGGGGATAGCAGAAAGTATAATGGAGCAAAGATACAGAGACAAGAAGGTACAAAGCGGATTCAGGAAGATGATTAAGTCTGGTGTGGATAGAGGTTCAAGGAAGGGTGTGAAATGAGAGAAAAGGTTGAAATGTTTTATGAAGGTCAACTTGTGAAAGATCTAAAACACCAAATTAACCAGGTGTGATTTTATTCTGCATGAAAGAAGGAGTATTACAGGCTTGGGAATGGGTAGTAACTCTGGCTTTTATTTAAGGAAGACCACGCTAGTAGCCATGTGTAGGATGGCTAGAAGGAGAGAACATCAGGTGGAAAGACCAGTATGAACGCCCTTGAAATAATGAGTCAGGGCAGCGCAGAGCAAACTGTGAAGGAAAGGACTAGAGATTTAAATTGGATGATTGGGCGACTTTGTTATTTAATGGGAAGAAAAATTTTCAATTGGCTCTGATATATCCTGTTTGAGTGCCTGAGAGGATGATGATACTTACCTGATAGAAGCTCTGCTTACCTCTATGAATTCCTATCCTGCCACTCTTCTCCTTCAATAGATGCACTCTACCTCTGCCTCAGGAGATAAGAACACACTGCTATTCACCTCTTCTGTCTTCCCTTGAATATGCTATTTCTTCTAACTGACATACCAATCCCTTCCTTCCCTAACATCCTCACTCCAATCAGTTCATCCTTTAAAAGGTGACATTAATGGTCTCCTACTTCAAATTGTCTTCTCTGACCACTTCCCCCTACATCTCTCCTGCCAAGTTAATCACTTCCTCCTTTGTCATACTGTTTCATATACAGTTCTATTACGTATAGTAAGGTGTCTGGGGAGGCAGGTCTTAAGATTTCTTTTAAAGAAAAACTGCCAGTTATTTCTCTGACAAAGTAAATACCTCAAGTCACCAGAAACATAGATCATCTTTGCTTAGGAAAGAGTCACTTGAAAACATCTCTTACTGATACAAATGGAAGGAGAGTTAGGTACCTATTGCACCAGGGAAAGTATATAACAAGACATCCTGACAAGGCCACTCCTCCAAATAGCCTTAGCCCAAACCAATACTGAGAAAGTTTGCCTAGGAGAACCTCCTAGGGAAGAAAGATTGAGATCTCAATCTCTTTCTTTTTATGGTTTAACATTCTTAGAAACTCTCTTATTGACTGAGAAAGTTCTGTTTCATTCTTCAGGTGGAATAGGAAGTCTGGGCTGATAAACTAGTTCAACAACAGAGCCTCATGGCCACAGAGAGAACTGGTTCCAGCAGAGTACATGACTAAGCCACGAAGCCCATCCCAATTCAGTCTCCTGGAAACTACCCATATTCTTTTGGAACAATGTACAAGAATAAAGAAACATTGAAAGTCCATGCTTCAGCCACTCTACGACCATGCTTGGGACTTGAGAGAAGCCAGCTTGCAATTGCAATACCAGCTAGCAGTCAAAGGTTTTTGGTAGCCAAATGTCTAGCCAACAAACTGCTAGGAAGCTTGAGTTCCCTCTCTTATCTGCAAATAAGTTCAACAACCTCTTTGCACTGAGTAAGCTCCTGTGGTTTTTGGTAAATTACGTGAGAGAAGCAGGCTTAAGAAAAGATACTGGATTCCCAATAAGAACCTAAACTAGGCAAGTAATTAGAAAAATAAATGATATGAAATATGTGACTTTTATCCCAGACTGATGAGCAGGTCGTACTAATTAAAAACATATGCACACAGTGTGCTTCTTATTTCTTTACAGTAGGTACATCCTCAGTCCCTGTACCATGTTAGCACACAGCAGACACTCAGTAAATGTTTGTTAAACTAAACGAATTTGTGTGAGGTGCTAAGAGGAATGTCCAGTGAAAATGCCCAGTAGTTAATCAGAAAAATAAGATCTAGTTCTTAGGAAAAAAAGTTAACACTGAACATTTATTCATCTAAAAATATTTATTAATAACTCTGTGCCAAGAACTAGGGCCAGTGGTGAGAAAACAAAAACAACCCCCACTCACAACGGTCTTGCAGGAGAACAGTTATTAATTAAATAATCAAATAAATAAAATTCCAATATAATGAGCTTCAAATATACATTTAGGAAAAAAA